GCCTCCTCTGATGTGGTAAAGCGGAAACTTTTGGAGCTCCTCGCGGGTTTCCCCCATCGGCTTCGGAACCTCTGGCGGCGCCTCCGGCGCTGCCCGTGGCGCCCTCCTCGCGCCGAGGAGGGGGGTCCAGCGCCAATCGGAGAAATCCACGCGGGATCCGAAGTTATGTTCATGTAGTTTGTCATTTCTCTATGAGTTTGTTGTCTTCACCGTTCGGCGATACCTGGGTCATCGGGCCGCCCCCGTCCCCCCCCTTGATAGTCTGCCTTTGGCGGTTGCGCAGGTCCGGAGGGGCTGGTTACGCAGTACAGGCGCGCGCGGGCACCCGTGGGGCTGCCCGAAGCAAACGTGACCGGCCTGGCTCATCCTCCCCCGCCCCCCACCCGGTGACCCGGGTTTTCGCCGACAGAAGCACGGTTTCTAGCCATCAGGCATTGGCGAAGCGCCTGGGTTCGCCCATAGGCCCACCATAGTTTGTTCTACGAAGTTTTGTGCAGCTTGCACGGGATATTCTCAGAACGTTTCTGTCTGAGACGGTCGTGTTTTCACTCGTCGGTTTGTCTAAGAACACTTGGTTGGTTGCTAGAAAATTCGGTTGTGCTAAGAACATGTCGTGGTAGGCCTACGGGTATGCCAGGGCGGTCGGTCCCTGCTCAAATCCATCTTCCTCCCTCCCCCCCTTCCCTCCCTCCTTCTGCTGCTGCTGGCCCTGCCTTACGGACCCAGGCCTCCCGTCCTCTCGTCTGCGCTGCCCCCCTCGGTGTTCGCCGCCGTCGTCGCCGCCGCCGCCGCCGCCGCCGCCGCCGCCGCCGTCGTCGTCGTCGTCGTCGTCGTCGTCGTCGTCGTCGTCGTCGTCGTCGTCGTCGTCGTCGTCGTCGTCGTCGTCACCCACCTTTGCTTCGGAAGGAGAAGAAGGAGCGGGCGGAGGAGGACGGCGGAGGAGCAGGAGGGAGGAGAAGGGGGGAGAGGGAGCGAGGAGCGTGGAGCGAGCAGGAGGACGGCAGAGGAGCAGGAGGGGGAGCTCGAGGAAGGACGAAAATTGAGTAGAGAACCCCAAGATGGCCTCCAATACGTCTCTACCGACGATGCCCCTCCTTACGTGAGCCCAAAAAGTGGTCCCAAGAGGGCCCATAGGGGCCTCAGAGAGGCTCCCACTGGCTCGCATAGGGAGGCGGAGGAGGAGGAGGAGGAGGAGGAGGAGGAGGAGGAGGAGGAGAAGGAGGAGGAGGAGGAGGAGGAGGAGGAGGAGGATGAGGATGATGATGATGGAGGAGGAGGAGGAAGAGGAAGGAGGAGGAGGACGAGGAGGAGGAGGAGGAGGAGGAGAAGGAGGAGGAGGAGGAGAGGGAGGAAAACCTGGAGGATATGAGGAAGTTTGAGGGCGAGGAGTAGGAAGAGGAGGAGGACTGTAGTGTATTGCTGATGCCCTTGAGGGTAAGCATAACCCTGTGAGGACGGATGGGGCTCTGGGGCTCACCCACCCTCGTTACCGTGCCCCCAGGTACAAGGACCGTGGTAGGCACACGGTATGAGAGGTAGCATACCTTTCATCGGCAACCTCCGTTGTGAAGACCGTGGCTCGTCCTTACTCGGCTTGTGCGCCAGAGCAATCGGAGCGTATCAGCACACGCTGGAGGTGAGTGTGAATGAGGGGTGATGGATTCCACACCTCCTGACTGCATGGACGATGCGGCGGAGCGAGGCCGCCAAGGTAATGAGGCTCAGAGTATACAGCGCTGAATGCCAGTGCGTGCGCGTGCGGCGGGATGCAACAAGGGAGTAGGTGGCTGATATAATAAGTGGACAACGTCAACCCACGCCACCATTGTGCTGCGTACCCCAACGGTTACACGACGCGACGCGACGGCAAGCTGAGAGGCAATGGTTACCTCACCTCCTGCCGGCATGGACGATGCGGCGGAGTGAAGACGCCAAGGTAATGAGACTCAGAGTAAACAGCGCTGTATGCCAGTGCGTGCGCGTGCGGCAGGGTGCAACAAGGGAGTAGGTGGCTGAGATAATATGTGGCCAACGTGTCCTCACGCCACCTCTGAGCTGCGTACCCCTACGGTTACACAACGCGACGCGACGGCAGGCAAGGGGATCGCGCGCCGAAGAATACGATTCGACCCGCGGCCGCATAACCATCTGAGAGGCGATGTTTTCCTCACCTCCTGCTGGCATGGACGATGCGGCGGAGTGAACAAGCTGGCCCAGAACGCATCCTGGGACCATGCCTGCTGAGGCCGGCGCGCCTCACGTAGGCCCTCTGCCCAAGACTGGGAGGACGCGAACTTCGAGAGTTTCGTATCGGGTGCGACCCCCAGAAGGCTCACGGCGAGGGGCATCTCCGACCTTCAAAACCCCTTGGGGTTTCGGGGACGATGAGCTTGGCGAGTCATTGAGGACGAGTCGGTTCCCCAGTTGTCCGTTTCCCTGGGGGGTCCTCAGTTGTCCGTTTCCCTGTGCCCCGCATCATCGCCTCGGCGTGCGGTGGGGACAGCAGCGATTGAGAGGAGAAGTTTGGAGGTGAAGGCAAGAGTGGCGCGTGCAAGAGCGGGCCGCGAGGCCCGCGCAGTACGAGGGGTGTTATCGCCGTGGGCCTGGCGTCTAGGGGATCCCCTTGCCAGCCCGTGGCGTGAGCGTAATCTGTGAATGCACGAAAGCTGGCCCGGACGCTGGCCAGCGTCTAACAGGAGATAAGCAATGTTAGCCGGACAGAATGATATTATGCAGGACTGTCGGCCTTGCCGCCAGACTGTGTCCTTGAGGCAAATGCCTCGCGACATGCTTGCAAAGTTACACTGTGGATGCACGAAAGCTGCAAATGAAGCTGGCCAACCTCTGATAGGAGATAACCATGGTAGCAGAGTGCGACTGTGCAGGACTGCCAGCCTTGCCGCCAGGCTGTGTCCTTGAGGCGAATGCCTCGCGACGTGCGTTCATAATCTGTAGACGCACGAAAGCTGGCCTTGACACTGGCCATCGTCGACTAGAAGACAACCCATGGTAGCCGCAAAGCGTGAGACTGTGCAGGACTGCCGGCCTTGCCGCTGGGATGTGTCCTTGAGGCCACTGCCTCGCGACATACTTGCATTATCTGCGATTGCGCGAAAACTGGCAATGACGGTGGTAGGAGTCAGCCATGCAAGCCGGACAACATGGGGTCATGCAGGACTGCCGGCGCTGCCGCCGGGCTGTGTCCGCGAGGCGAATGCCTCGCGACATGCTTAGATAAACTGTGGATGCACGCAAGCTGAAACTGAAGCTGGTCGACGTCTGATAGGAGGAACCATGGCAGCAGAGTGCAAATGTGCAGGACTGCCGGCCTTGACGCCGGGCTGTGTCCTTGAGGCGAATGCCTCGCGACGTGCGCTCATAATCTGTGGGCGCGCGAAAGCTGGCCCTGACTCTGGCCATCGACGAATAGGAGACAAGCCATGGTAACCACAAAGAGTGAGACTGTGCAGGACCGCCTGCCTTGCCGCCGGGCAGTGTCCTTGAGGCGAATGCCTCGCGACATACTGCATTATCTGCGATTGCACGAAAACTGGCAATGACGTTAATAGGAGACAACCATGGTAGCCAGACGAAAAGATATTGAGCAGGACTGCCGGCCTTGCCGCCGGGCTGTGTCCTTGAGGCGAAGGCCTCGCGACGTGTGCGCAGCATCCGCGGTGCGCGACAGCTGGCACGGCCGCTGGCCACCGTCTAAGACGAGGCCATGGTAAGCGGAGAGAGTTAGATTGCGCAGGACCGCCGGCTTTGCCGCCGGGCTGTGTCCTTGAGGCGAATGCCTCGCGACGTGCGTGCATAATCTGTGGATGCACACGATCTGGCACTGCCGTTGGCCTTCGCCTGCGCACGAGGAGCCAAGCGTAGCATATGCCCGCGTGTGCCTTCAGACAACGAAGTAAAGATCTCGAGGTGAGCGACCTCGAGGCATTGACCGCCTTCCTTGCAAGATGGGCAACGGTGATTGTGCAGGGCCGCCGGCCTTTCCGCCGGGCTGTGTCCTGGAGGGCAGAACCTCCGACTGGAATGCTTCTCCGCTGGCATTGGCGCCAGGCCAGGTCCCACGGACACATGCCACACGCTAGGATATGAGAATGCGCAGGACCGCCGGCATTGCCGCCGGGCTGCGTCCTGGAGGTCAGACCCTCCGACTTGTCCGAATGAAAATTGACAAAACCGGGCAGTGTCATGGAGGCGCATGCCTCCTAAGGAAGGTGTGTAGGATCGCCAGTATTGCTGGCGGGCTCCTGGAGGAGAAATCCTCCGGCGTCCTCGTTGAGACCATCTGGCGGAGCCGACGGGCAGCTGGTGTCAACCTCGCTCAGGAGGGCCATGCTTAGCCTGTCACTGGCGAAACGTGTTCCACCGGGGTGACCACCCAGGCGGGGCCTGTGGCTCTCCGACCCGAACCTGCAAGGTGGGCAATATAAGCACTGCTGGAGGAGGTCCGGTCTAGGGCGACGCATCCTCCTTGTGCTGGGAGGGCACTTGAGCGTGCCTCTTGCCACTGTCGCCCCGCTGTTCACTCCCCTGGGGGCTCGGCTGGGGCGCTCGTCGGGCGTGGGGAATCCACGCCCTTAGTGGCGCCCCGTGCGTCCCCAGCCGACTCCCCCAGAGGAGTATAGGAGGAGGAGGAGGAGGAGGAGGGGGAGGAGGAGGGGGAGGAGGAGGAGGAGGAGGCGGCGCAGCCCCAGGATAATACATTTGTGTGTGGCTTGACCGAATTGGTCAGGCCCCCCCCCCTGAGAACCGACCGGGCCCGCCGTGGCCACGGCGTCATGTCGCATCTTTCCGCGCGCGCATGCCGCCAGGGGGGGGCTTGACTCAGCCCGCGGGGCCGCAGGCGCGCGATGGCGCCTTGGCGGTCGCGAGCGACCGCGGGGGGCTGCCCATCGCGATGCGCGAGGCAGATATCGCCGCGTTGGGCCCCTCTGCGGCCCGCCGTGCCGCGCGGCGCCAGCGTTCAGCGATGCGTCGCGCTCGAGGCGGCGGCGCGCAGAGCTGCCCGCGCTCGCGCTGGCACCAACATAATGACGATGCTGCGCGAGGCCATGAGCGCCTACGACTACGACTCGTGCGACGAGGAGCTGCGTAACAGGCAGCGCCAATGCAAGCGCGTCGTTGTTCAGGTGCTGGGCACTGGCGAGTACAAAGACGCGCAGGGCTACGACGGCATCCTCGGCTGAGATGGCCTGGGGACCGACCGGGACTACATTGGCTTCCAGGGGGCAGCTGAGCGACGACTGCAAGAAGCAAAGCTCCGAGAACCACCAGCATAGCCACCGCCAGCGCAGCTACGACAGCAGGAAGCAGAGCTTGGAGAACTGCCTGCAAAGCTAGCGGGGCCACCAGCAGAGGTGAGACGGGAAGACGCTGGACCACGAGGAGAGGGCCACCAGCGGAGCTTCCCGAGCCACCAGCGGAGCTGCGGCGGCAGGAAGCAGAGCTTCAAGAACCACCCAAAGAGCTACGAGGGCCACGAGCAGAGCTACCCCGGCCACCAGCAGAGATAGTATGGCCACCAGTTGCCAGAGCAAGCATTTGGGCTACGAGGTCTACAAACAGAGCTACGACGGCGATCGGCAGAGCTCCGCGAACCACAGGCAGAGCTATCACGGCCACCAGCGGAGCTTCGACAGCGATCAGCTGAGCTAGGAGGGCCACCAGCAGAGCCACCCTGGCAAGAAGCAGAGTCTAGAGGGCAACCACGTGAGCCACGAGGGCCACCATCACAGCTACTAGGGTACCAGACAGAGCTGCGAGAGCAAGCAGCCGAGCTACGACGGACACCAGCCGAGCTACGGCTGCAAACCACAGAGTTCCGAGAACCACCTGCAGAGCTACGACGGCCATCAGCGGAGCCTCGAAAGCCACCCGCTGAGCTAGGATGGCCCACAGGAGAGCCACGGCGGCAGAAGGCGAATGTCCGAGAATCACCAGCAAAGCTATGACGGCAACCGGCAGAGCCTTCCTGGCAAGAAACAGAGTTTCGAAGACACCCACGTGAGCCACGAGGGAAGCTCTGCGCGGGCAACAAGTCCCAGAGCAATATGTTCGAGTCCTCTCGCGTCTGTACACAGGGCAGACGGCCCAGGTGTGCTCCGACTGCAACAGTCGAGTATATCGTCTCGAGAGAGGGGCGCGGCAGGGAGATCCGCTGAGTCCAGCTCTGTTCAATTCCCTCCTGGAGCATTTCATGAGAGATCTAGAACAAACTCGGCGCAAACATCGGCGTGGGATACGCATCGGCGGCACGTTCTTGACCAACCTTAGATTTGCCGGCGACGTGCTGCTGATAGGCTCGACAAGGGCAGACGTTCGACACATGCTGTTTGACCTACAGTCAGTGGCCGGCGCGCACGGGCTGAAGCTCCACGCGGGCAAGACCAAGATTCTGTCGAATGTCGAGGTCAGGAAGGGCGTTCTCTGGCAAGGAAGCGCGAAGGTGGGCGAGGACTTCATTGATGTATTGCCTTTTGCCAAGGCCACAGTGTACGTGGGAAGATTGGCCTCCTCCTGTGACATTCGCGGCGCGGAGATACAGCTTCGGATCTCTCGTGGGTGGGCAGTTTTCGGGAAGTACAAGCACGAGCTGACGAATATCGAATGCCCGCTCAGGTACAGGATGCGCCTGTTCAGCGCGGTGATCACACCAACCGTACTATACGGCTGTGGTTGTTGGACCATGACCGCAGAGAGGGCGAAGCGGCTCCAGACGGCAGAAAGACGGATGTTGCGGAAGATCATTCCAACGCGGCGGGTTCAACATGAGCTCGCGGATATGAGCGCAGAGCTGGAACCATTGGTGGATTGGATTGTCCGCGCAACGAATCGGGCTGAGAACGCGTTCCGGCGAACTGGATGCCGCAGTTGGGTTGATCAGCAGCAGTCCAGGAAACAGGCGTTGACAGAGAAAACGGAGAGTCGCACCGACGGGCGGTGGTCGACCAAGCTTCTGACTTGGACCCCTGAGGGCACTCGCCTGCCCGGCCGCCCATGCAAACGCTTCAGCGATTGAGCTTGATGCCTTCTTTCCCCCGCTGCCAATGTGCGCGTGCAGTATCTCGCTGCGCAACGACCGCCAGGGTGAGGTTTTGTCTTGGAATAAGAGATGTTGCCGCTCTTGTTGTCGCTCGTCGCTTGCAGGCCCCAGGCCATTCCTGATTTCGCCGCGTCGACGGATTCTTGCGCGTTTGCTCTTCCAGCGAGCCCGACCGCCTTCCAGGGGCCCGGGCGCGGGCGACCCCCGCGCCGCTGCTTCCGCCTCCGCTTCCGCTTCCCGCGTGAGCCACGAGGGCCGCCGGCCCACCTGCGGGGGCACCAAACCGAGTCGAGAGCAAGCGGTTGAGTTACGAGCCCCATCAGTCGAGTTACGACGGCAAGAACCTGAGTTTCGGGGGCAACCACGTGAGCCACGAGGGCCTCCAGCGCGGCTGCGAAAGCACCAAACAGAGCGGCGAGATCAAGCGTCTGAGCTACGAAGGCCTCCGGCGGAGCAGCGACGGCGAGGGGCAGAGCTCCGAGAACCACCAGCAGAGCTACGAGGGCCACCAAGGAAGCTTCGCGAGCGGTCAGCTGAGCCAGGAGGGCTACGGCGGCAAGAGGCGGAGCTTCGAAAACCACCAGCAGAGCAACGACGGACGCCGGCAGAGCCACCCCGGCAAGAAGAAGGGCATCGAGGGCAACCGCGTGAGCCACGAGGGCCACCATCGCAGCTACTAGAGTACCAGACAGAGTCTCCAGAGCAAGCGGCCGAGCTACGACAGACCACCCAAGCTACGGCTGCAAACCGCAGTGTTCCGATAATAACTTGCAGAGCTACGATGGCCACCAGTGGACCCTCGAAAGCCGCCAGCTAAGCTACGAGGGCCGCCAGCAAGCTACGGCGGGCACCAGCAGAGCCACCCTGGCAAGAAGCAGTGTCTCGAGGGCAACCAACTGAGACACGCGGGCCACCGACGCAGCTACTAGGACTGCCCGCTGAGCCAGGAGGGCCACCAGCCGAGCTACGGCGGTCGTCAGCGGAGCTTCGAGACAAACAAACAGAGGTACGACGGCAACCATCAGAGCCACCCTGGCAAGAAGCAGAGCTTCGAGGGCAACCGCGTGAGCCACCAGTTCAGCTACGAGAACACCAAACGAAGCTTCAACGGCCACCGGCGGAGCTTCGAGAGCGGTCAGTTGGGCGAGGGGGGCCACCAGCAGAGCCGCCCTGGCAAGCAGCAAAGACTCGAGGGCAGCCGCCTGGGCCTGAGCCACGAGGGCCATCATGGCAGCTACTAGAGCACGGAGCAGAGTCTCGAGAGCTACGACAGACACCAGCCGAGCTACGGCTGCAAAACGCATAGTTCCGAGAATCACTTGCAGAGTTACAACGGCCACCAGCGGAGCTTCGAAAGCCGCTCTCTGAGCCAGGAGGGCCGCCCAGGACTATGGTGAGAGGGAGCAGAGCTCCGAAAGCCACCAGCAGCGCTACGACGGCAATCGGCAGAGCCACCCAGGCAATGCGCAGAGCTTCAAGGGCAACTGCGTGAGCCGCGAGGGCCACCGGCACAGCTACGAGAGCATCAAGCAGAGTCTCGAGAGCAAGTTGCTGAGCTATGACGGCCACCATAAACAGATTTCCGACGGGGTTGGCAACCTCCTGAGCCACGAGGGCCACCAGCACGGCTGCGAGTGCACCACGCAGGGCGGCGAGAGCAAGCAGTTGAGCTACGAGGGCCTCCAGCGGAGCTACGACGGCGAGGGACAGAGCTCCGAGATTCACTTGCAGATGTACGACTGCAACCAGCGGAGCTTCGAGAGGGGTCAGCTGAGCGAGGAGGGCCTCCAGGAGAGCTACGGCGGCAGGAGGCGGGGATTCGTGAACCACTTGCAGAGCTACGACGGCCGCCGGCAGAGAAGCATACCTTCTAGGACAAACCCGAGCCACACGGGCCACCAGGAGAGCTGCGAGAGCACTAAGCAGAGTCGAGAGCAAGCGACTGAGCACCGACGGCCACCAGCATATCTACTTCCGAGTGCCACCAGCACAGCTACGACAGCAACCAGCTGATCGCTGGCAGTGCACGGCTGGCCCCGCCAGCGGACATCTTGCCAGTTTCCATTACTACTACTACAATTGCGACTACTACTACGACTACGACTACTACGACTACTACGACTACTACTACTACTACTACTACTACTACTACTACTACTACTACTCTACTTCACTACTGATACTTCTACGTCGACTACTACTACTAGTACTACTACTACTACTACTACTACTACTACTACTACTACTACTATCACTGTTACTTTCACTACGATCACGACTACTACTTCTGCGACCTACTACCACGACTACGACTACTACTACTACTACTACTACTACGACTACTACTACTACTACTACTACTACTACAACTACTACTACTACTACTACTACTACTACTACTACTACTACTGCTGCTGCTGCTGCTGCTGCTGCGACAACTTACTACCACTATCACAATTACGAAGACTACTGCGAGTGCGACTACTACGCGCACTACTACGACTACTACTACAACAACTTTTTATTCCTACTACTGCTACTTCCACTACGACTACTACTGATACTACTACTACTACTACTACTACTACTACGGCTACTACTACTGCTACTAGTACTACTACTGCGACTGCTGCCCGTCTAGTCCACTTGAACCTACGACTGCTACTACTGCTGCTGTTGATACTACGACTACTACTACGACTACTACTACCACTACTACTGCTATTACTACTACTACTACTACTACTACTACTACTACTACTACTGCTGATACTATTGCTGCTGCTACGACTCCTACTACTACTACTACGGCCACTACTACGACGACTACTACTACGACTATTACGTATACGACTACTTCTATTTACAACTACGGCTATTCCCTTTTTGTGTTGATTCCCACTACTACGACCAGCACCACTACTTCTACTACTAGTACTACTTATCATTATTTCTATTCTTTGGCTACCACTTCTACCCATACTGCGACTTCTACTCCTCCTACCACTACTACTACGACGACGACTGCTACTACGATAACTTCCGTTGGTGCTACGGTTATTCATGTTGCGATTTCCAGCGCGGCTACGGCTTTACGGCTACGGCAAAGACTACGACGACGACGGCTACTACTACTACT